TAATGTACGTGATGCTACAGTGCATCGATTTGAATATTAAAATTATATAACAAAGTTCTGCTATGAGGAATCAAATCATGTCATCATGGATCATGCTGTTTTTGCCTGGTAAAAACACAACAAAAAATCATGTTAAAGGCTAATCTATGACGCAGAACACTTAGCAAGATATATTGACTTTGTAAATGAATAAGTATTAACAGCAACCTTTTTTTTACAATTGGGCTGTAAACCAGATTTATCGGAAATCTTTTTTTGAACCAACTAATTATTTTAAACAATCTGAATAACACATTTACAGTAACTTACGAATCAAAACCACTTTTAGTAAATATATGAAATAGAAATAATTTTAAAAAAAGTAAAAAATTTTTCATTATAATTTTTGGTACACTCTCCTTCACAACTAAAAGTTGCTGCACAATTTAAGCTAATACAAACACATTTACAGCGTGTTGTTCAACCTGTTTTACATCAGCAATAAATTAAAATAGGACAACAATAATTAGCTTCAGGAAGAGTTATCTATGCCAATAATTTCCTTCAAGCCTTTGAACCCAATCACTTTAGTTTGGTAAAGTTTGCGATAGTAACAGTTTTTGACTCCAATCATACGTCTGACGTGCTGCACGCTTCACATTCTGCAGTATTGCATCACGTGTAAGTGAAATGTTTCCATTCTGCTAGTTCTTTTAATTGATAAAAAAATATTATCTAGCAGATTTTAATTTTGTTTGTTGAGCCATTTATACACATATGGTTATACAGCAAAATAAAAAATCTTTTTGGAAAATTTTTTTGTCAGTGATTGAATCATGAGCTGCAGATTTTCCCAGAATGCAATATCCAAACAACACGAGTAGACCATGCAGGTTATTTACCTTTTCAACAAAAAGCAGTGGTTGTATTTTAACCATTAAATGCACAAAAAGTCGGTAAAAATATCCATTTTAATGATTGAATCATTAAAAATGAAATTATTGTACGCATTGGAACAATCTTGTATCCAGATTTTAAAGCATGTTATAACAAAAAAGACAAGTATCAATTTTTTGTAAAGAGTTTAAACTTTACCCGGGGGTGGCCACTAAAACTTTAGACTCAAATTATTGAATTAAAACTGCTTTTTAAATAAAAATTGAAAAAAACTATGCTTTAGGAAATTGCTACCATTTAAAAAGGACGATCATCTGAAGCCTAACATGTACTCTGGCTCTAGTTCTTTTGGCACTTGTAATAAATTTCAAACTCAGGGTTTTATAGGTATCTAAGGCAAGATCTAGTCGTTGCATTCTAGCAACTTGTAAACGCATATCAGCAAGGGTTAAAATAAATGTCAAACATAGGCACCCCCAGATTGTTTTTGAAACCTGTTTGAAAGAGGCAAGCATAGGGTGTTTAATTGCCGCAAAATTTTTGAATTACTTCACCATCTTTTAAATTGAGGTTTACACTAAGAAAAAAATATTATTTGCTAAGTATTTTTAAAAAATATCAAAATTTAAGGGTTCCCCCACATAGAAAAAGTTGAGCAAATTCTTTTTTACCGTGTTTTGTGAGTATTTTTATTCAAAATGTTAACAAATATATTCCGCAACAACTTCAACTTTTTGCACAGTATAATTTATTTTATTTATATTGTATAAAAAGTTTGAGTTAAAAAAATAATTTAACCCCCTGATTTAAATAGTAAAGTAGTTTTAAGGATTTTAACTTCTGTTAATGTAAGATTGATACCATTAGCACTGTTTAAAAAAATTACCAAATACTCATTTAATTTTCTTTTCGTCTTTGAAGAGAAGCTTGTTTGCAATGGTCCACCACTATTTGAAGTAGTAGTTGAAGCGGCGCGGGGTTATTGACTTTATTTTTAAAGTCTTATATAAGTTTTACACCTCTCTCGACGCAGTCATTCACAACTTGACAGTACTTAACAACATTTTTTACATAGTTGTAATCTCTCATCTTTATCTAGTGCTCGACAGGCAATTGCATCCAATCTACCTTGTTTGTAGTTATCTTGATTAAGTTAAATAGCAGCCAGGAACGTGGAACCAATTAAAGCCAGCCAGGAACCAATTAAAGAGACAAAGGCTTCCAGGTTTAATTTCTTCACTTCTTTGGATTTCGCACAACTTCAATGCCATAGCAGATCTTTCAATAGACAAAACGTCCTCATCAAACATTGCAAAGATAACGAACTCTTCAGTTAAATATCAGAGGTGTTTGTTGCAAAAATGAATGGCTCCATGAGAAGCAATTTTGTTTGCACCACGGTACCACTGCATATTGGCAATGTACGACGATCAACTTTTGGTGCAATAACTGAAATGCAACTTTGTAAAAAAGCTTTTGCGCGAAAGAGATAAAATTTATGCCGATGATCCTGGTCAAGCAGTGCAACCTGTTGATCCAACATGACAGGTTTCAAGATGTACAGCTTATTGTGCATAAATCTTGCACGATGATGCACACCCGGTTTTTTGAAGTTAAACATCTTACCTTTTGGCAAGTCACCTTCCAGATAACGAACTGTCAGTTCAATCAATTTTTGATAATCTACCCTTGGAAAGACATTTTCTTCAAGGCACCTACTAGCCCAGTTTAGAACAAGTGTTGCCTGACGATGAATAGGATGGTTCTCTTCCGGCCACTCAAGTTTTTTTTAGGCTCGGGAGAAATAGAATCCCAAACGTCTTAAATCATTTTCAAAAATGGCTCGATAGGTCCGTTATGACTTCCATTAACTGCATTACAGACGTGACGAATTTGCAGTTCGTAAACATGATGGCGATAAGCTGTCCACAACAGCGCATGACCTACTTCTTTCTCAATGAGTGCTGCACATCCAGCTTTCCATCCAGTGTTACTAGAAGTGGTGTCGAAAACTAGGGTAACCAAATTATGAAACAGTTTCCAGGAAGAAAAACACTCAACAAAGGCATCTTTATGAGCGTGACCAGTTGAGTTGATAGTTACAGAACTTTTTTGTTTCCATTGTTTATTGATCAATCCTAACCACTGCCAGAATAGCAACAAGCTCAGCTTTCTTTCCTACATACAAAAAATGTTTGTTTTTAAATATTTTAGTGTTTTTTTATATTTGCATTTCCAAACACTTATTACCCATGTAAGCAAGTAATAAATTAATCACCCATTTACCAGTAAGAAGTTTTGAATCCCAGTGACCGGATAAATGAAAAAGACGCTTCTCCTGATATTTCTCCTTTATATGGGCACCTTGTTTTTTCTCGTTCTACTCTACGGTTATGGTGAACTGATGATCGCGAGATTGGAAAATGATGTAACAAACAACCGCAAACTTTAACGACTTTTGCATCAACAGCCATTTGATCTTTTACACTGAGGCCTAATTGGTCGGAGTCATCAGTGAATGATTTTGTTAATTATTAAACTTTTCCAAAAATCTTGTAGTTCAATCAAAATAACTTTAAAAATGTTTTTTGCCGATACTCACCATTTTTCATTTACTCACGATTTCACCACTTCCTTTGTTGATTTTTCTAAAATAAAAGTATCATCTGAAGAAACCAATTTTAAAGGGATGTTTTACATCAGAACCTAAGCTTTTCTCTAGTCTGAGTCTAATAAAGTAACCTTGATGATTATTTCGTGTGGGTCTTGCTTTTTCCACTGAACAATTTTTCTCTTTTATACTAGCTTTCGGTAGTTTACGAGAACGTGGATCTATTTTTGTGGTTACCACAGAAAGAGCTCAGTACAAGCAGCAGCAAAAGCATCTGACTGACTTACTAGTTGAGATGCTGTTCAACAAAATCTGGCGCGAATTACTTTACTAAAAGTAAAAAAAGCAACTTTTTTAAGCCTAGCAATTACAAAAACCTTAATTGCTTGTGTCTTATTAATGTAAAACTCTAAGTCTATTCTCTTTAGAACTCTATTTTAGAAAATATTTCCCAAACTTAATTTGCATATTAAACTTACTGTAAACACAAAAAACTTAAAGTAAATAAAACATTTAAATCCAGACAGTAAGCTAACATTGGCCCAACGAAAGTTTTAACATAGGCAAATTTATTTCGTTGGGCAAACATTAAGCCAATGTTTTTTGTTTTTAATTCTGCAAATCGGTTTTTTACAAATATCGTACTACATTGGGCCAACATTTACCCAATGTTTTTTTTTGGCTTAATACTTCAATTCTACAAATCGGTTTTTTGCAAATATTATACTATGTTGGGCCAATATTGGGCCAATGTAGTATCGGCTTGACATTTTGCTATAAAAATCTGTACTTACACTAATGCCGAAGCTAATATTAATTTTTAAAAAATGGTATCGCTTTACAGAATTAAAAAAGTTTTTGATATTATCTTTCCATTTTTTTAAATTATAAAAATTAATCTCCTAAGAATCGTAAATGGTTCCTTATAAGAAATAAACTTCAAGAGGTTTTCGTGACTTAATATCACAAAAACCTCTTATATTCTTTTTAATAATGAAATATTAATTAACATTTAAATAATGTGCTTATAACATTTTACTACAATCTAAACTATCCATGTAAAAATAAAGGCAATAATCAAATTATTTTTTGTAAGATCTTATAGTTATTTTTTTTTTGATAGTGTCTTTACTGCATTGACATTTTAGATGTTTGATTTATTTAATAAAGGAGATATTTAAAATGTCTTCTTTATAATAAAGAAGACATTTAAATATCTTCTTTATTAAATAAATCAAACATTTGAAATGATAATAAAGAAGACATTTGATAATAAAGAAGACATTTTAAATATCTTCTTTGTTAAATAAATCAAACATTTGAAATGTCAATATAGTAAAAACAGTATTGAAAAAAAATAATAACTATAAGATCTTACAAAAAAAAAATTGATTATTGCCTTTACTTTTACATCGATAATTTAGATTTAAGTAAATTGTTTCAAGCACATTATTTAAATATTAATTAATATTTCATTACTATCGTTTTTTAATTAATACTCATTATTATCGTTTTTATCTAATATTCATTATTATCGTTTCAAATGTTTAATTTATGTAATAAAGTTTATTACATAAATTAAACGTCATACAGTAACAAGTAACAAATAAAAAAATAGCTTGAAGATCTTACACAAAAATAGTTCATAAATGTATTAATACCTGCAAATTATACATCACATGTGTCACAAGTGTCATTAGATATAAAATTTTCTATATGACTACTACAGTGGAATTGTGGTTGTTAAGCTTATGTTTTACAATTTAAATTTGTTTCTTTTGTTTGATGATATCTGTTTGATTGTAAAACCCCCGTTTACTAACATCCCATCTACTAACATATTAAAACGGTCTACAAAAAGTGATATCACTAGAATTTATATTTTACTTATGTACGGCTTTCTAAAATTGCCAGACATTTTATTTTAAGACCAATGTCTAGTCTATAATAATTGATTGAATTGCGAGATTAAATCATTTAATAATCATTAAAAAAAATTAAAATAAAAAAACTCAATTTAAATCATTATTTTTATTTGTCTGATTTAAATCATGATTTAAGTTGAAAAACCCTCTATATATTCCATCTTTCCGAGGCAGAGGGGCATTATTCTTGGTTTTATTATTTTTTAATTCAATATTACTGGATACTGCTTATATTTAGTTTGCGTGCAACAGTTGATAACTTTAAGCTTATACATTAACTTTATTAATAGCTTAATTATTAATGAATTGATTTATAGATTTTTATAGCAATGCAAGATTAAACTTAGCAGAAGTCTGAACTGCTCTGGAGACAAAAAAGAAAAACAGCGAAAATGATCAGCCAAAATAAAGATTAAAGAGGCAAAAATTTGTGTATACCTTGAAGAGACAAAAAATTCTTGGTGTAGATGATTCTTCAAATTATTTTAGTAATGGCCTCACTTTCTTATAATAAATCAAAAAATATTATTATACTTTGGGATTTACCTGTAACTCCAAACTCTTTGCAGAAGTTCAATGTTTGTTCTGAGAAGTTAAATGAAAAAAATTTATTTAAAGGTTAGTTGTAATATAAAAGTTTTTTTGTCTGATGATTGAAAATCTTTATTCATAGCTTTAACTTTTACAATTTTTAAAGACTTTTTTATATATTACACTCAAAAAGAGTGTTAATTAACATTTTGTTGTGCAATAATCAACATATCAAAACTTACACCAACTTTAAAATCCATTTGAAATCAACTCTTGAAAAAATCAACATAGTATTCTTATGAGTTTAAAGTTTTACCAGTTGCTGATAGTTTATTATTATTCATTATATAAACGTTTACTTAAATTGTTCAAATAGACGAAGGTAATACAATATTTTCAAAATTCTAGGAAAAAATCCCCCGGAAAAAAATCCTGCCGGAAAAAATCCCCCCGAAATAATTTCCCGACTAAAAATACCCCCGAAAAATAAATCCCCCCCCCAAAAAAAAATTTTTTTACTCAAAAATTATCAATATGTAGTTATGTTTATTTCTTTATTTATTTTAAATATGTATTTAAAATACTTCATTTTTCATCAAAATGTCAAGTTATGCGCTATTCCTCTAAGGTAGCAAATGTGAAACTCTAACCCTGACAATTTGGTAAAATGTGACCTTTTTTGCAAACCATCGTAGTTAATTTAACAGTAAATTTTATAGACTTTTAAGCGAAAATTATTTAATAAAAAATACAAGGAAATTAAGTGAAACTAGACGAATACAATATGAAAATATATACATATTTTTTTTGAGTTATTTGATAGACTGCCTGACAAAACCAAACCCTTAGTCGATGTAGCAGCCTCCGTTGCGTTTCAGGCTATAAGATAGTCAAGCAAGATGATGTAGCAACACTTCACGCATGTTTTACAGTTTAAAAATAAAAATTTTATTTTAAATAAAGCTTTAAAATAGATAATTAAGAATTGGAGAGTTTTTTTTTTATTATTATTTTTATCATTAAAATAATAGTCTTTAAAATATGTTTTGTTACGCCAAAAAGTTCGCATTTTACCGGTTCGCAGTTCGCATTTTACCGACAACCAAGGAATAGCGCATAACTTGACATTTTGATGAAAAATGAAATATTTTATAAAGCTATATAAAATATATAAATATAACTACTTTATTGATAATTTTTAACTAAAAAAAAAATTTTTTTCTTTTTTTGGGGAGGGGAGTATTTTTTGGGGGGATATGTTCTCGGGGGGATTTTTTCTCGGAGGATTATTTCGGGGGGATTGTTTTCAGGGGGAATTTTTTTCCTGGAAGATTTTTTCCTGCTACCTATTTTTATAAATTATATTGTATTATTGTATTATTCTTAAAATTCAAAATTAAAATTGTGAAAGTAAAGTTGTATTATTCTTAAAATTCAGAATTAAAATATGTAAAAAAAAATATTTAGAAACAGGGTTGGATTAGCTCTAAAACATCGACCGGGAAAACCATTAGTGACCGGCTTCATCAAATTGTAACAGCCTATTTACACTTTTTATTTTTTTTAAAATGTCTTTTAATATATATATTATAAAAGTGATAGTTTTTTCTAAAATCCAATTAATGGGGGGTTCTATCGACAGACGATCTCGCACCCAAATGAAACGGCCCGAGGTTTCTCCAAAAAAGGGACCTAGTTCTAATAAACGTCTTTTCACAAGTTTTTAGGCTTTTTTAAACAGAGGTTTTAATTATTTAAGGTTTTTAATGAAGAGCAGGAACCCAGTAACAATTTAATAAAATCATATAAATAAAGAAACAATTATATTTAATAACTAATGAGGTATAATAATCTAAGTTATTAAATTTTTTTTAGTAAAGAACTATGTTTTACAACATCCAAAATGTTGCCGTGTGTTAATTCTTCTAAAATGTCTTTATTTGAATTCATTAAGATCCAAGCATCCAAATTGTCAAGTAATAAACAATTCCGTAGACATTTTTTAAATATACTTTATATACATAAATATACTTTATTGACGCTTTAGTGGTTTGTTCTTTGAATATCTTTATCTACCAGTTTTACGGTACTCGTGATATGTCATAAAATTATACTGTTATAATGTCTTATGTTTATTATTAATAAGATTTAATGGAATTTCAAGTTGAATTTTTTTTTTACTAAGTACAATAACAGGAGGATGCCGGTGGCCACAGCCACAAAAGTTGCCTTGCCTACAGGAAAATTACCCAGTGTCCCAGTGTCCCAGGCTAGTCCAACCCTGTTTACAAACATTGGACAAAGTTCATACTGTACCTGGAAAATCTGGAAAAATAGTTCATTTTGGCTAAAGTCATGGAAAACCTGGAAAAGTCAGGGAGTTTTTTTTTCTTTAGATTGTCATGGAATTCTGATTGAGAAGTTATTCACTTTAAAATTAAGCTATTATGTTGTTTTTTTTTTGTGTTACGCATTTATTTTTTCTGATACTTATGTTTTTCTTAGTGTTCATTCTTAGTCATCCTTAATAATAAGATCCATACTAACATGTATAATTAGATCTATACTAATATCCAACTTAACTAATAGCTAAGTTTTATAAGTTTTGTCATTCAAAGCATGTACAATTGTAGCATTTCCATTATAGTTGATAGTAATTTTAAACATTTTGTAAAAACCATTTTTAAAAATGGTCAGGGAAATTCATCTGATTTTTCAATATAGTCAGGGAATTTTATACAAATATTTGGCTACGAACACTGTTGGAGAAACATTGTTTTAATATGAATATTTTTGTTTTACAGTGCAACTGTATCTCAAACGTTTACGAGAATTGTTTGAGAATTGTGTCAGTGCCAGAAATAGAATGCAAACTAGCAAATTTCATAATTCATAAAAGTTATATCTATTTGTAAGTTTATATTTTAAATCATTAAAAATTTGCCCCTCAATCTTTAATTTTATTTGCTTTAATTAGTAAATGTTGCATTTACTTTTATAAATTTTAAATGTTATATGTAATTTGTTGTATAGTTTCTTAAGAATATTATTAATTTTATTGTTCAAGATAAGGTTGTATCTCCTAAAGATATGCAGGTGTTTTTAGTACGATGGGCAAGCATTGAAGTGCAACTTGGTGAACTACAAAACACATCAAATTTAATTTTATAAAAGTTTTGAATAACAAAGATATGCTAATGAATGATTTGCCTGAAAGAGTGTCATTTCAATTAAAAACATTGTAGAATTCAATTACTCTAGAAGAAAAAAGACAAGAAAATACTTAAGAAAATGGTAATTACTTTTTTATGATCCGTTCAAGCATTTTGTATGACATCTTTGTACAATTTATTTACTTTAAACAAAATACACTTTGAAGGTTTTTTCTACAGGAAGTTTTATATTAATTTAAGTCTAACCTTAACTAAAATCTAAACCTTATATTCTTTTCTTATTGATTGTTTTTTTTTTTATTGTATGGTTGTATATTTTTGCAGGGACAATTTAGAGTTAAAGATAAAGAAGATTGTATATGTTATTTACTAAGAACAAGTTTTAAAAAACCTAGCTGTAAAACTAAACTACGCAGGGAGAAGACAAAAAATGGAAATAGGAAAAATGTTGTTTTCATATGTTGCTATTGGTAAGTGGTTTAGAAGTTTATTTTTTCAGTTTCAATTTTGCATTAAACAATTACTTTCAATTTGTTATTTTTTTTTGGTGAATAAATAAACAAACAAATATTTTTTTTGCAGTAGTTGTAAAGTCAAATAAGCATGGATTATGCAGCGATGTGATAAAGATGGTGGAAGAAAATATGAAAGTTGTGGGCACAAAATATCATTAGCTGAACACGATTCAATAACAAGTAGCTCAGCCAATAACGAAACTACTTCATAAATTTTATTGGGAATTTTTTTATTTAATACCCAATGTGTTAGTTTTTAGTTTATGTTAGGTCTTTGCAATATGTATATATATATATATATATATATATATATATATATATATATATATATATATACATATATATATATATATATATATATATATATATATATATATATATATATATATATATATATATATATATATATATATATATATATATATATATATATATATATATATATATATATATATATATATATATATATATATATATATATATATATATATATGTATATATATATATATATATCGGAGAAATTATGTAAATTAAACATTTTACGAGCCACAAAACTTGTGGTACCTTTTTGCAAGTTACAAAACTTGCATTACCTTATTGCAAGCCACAAAACCTGCGATTTCTATTTGCAAGCGACAAAAAAAAATAGAGAAAAAGGTAATGCGTTTGTTGCTAAGCAGTTTATGGAATTGGGTTTACCCAGATCAACTGCTTACAATAAAATCGTAAAATTGGAGAACGGATTTCTAAAAAGAAAAGTTGGAAGTGGTCGAATTGCAAAGGTAGCTACTAAAGAAAATATTCCAAAGATTGCTGCAATTTTTGAAAATAAGTCATGGTGCTCCCAAAAAAAAGTAACTCAAGTTTTTAACTGTAGTCAAACTCGAATTTCCCAAGTATTAAAAACAATGACTAATATTCATATTTTCAAAAAAACAAATCGTCCAGATCGTAGCCATCAGCAGAAGAAAACTATGCATCTTAAATGTCGTAAATTGTACAAAAATTATAAAAATTTGGATTTTATTGTGGATGATGAAAGCTTTTTTACTTTAATCAATAGCACATTAGCTGGTAATGGTTCTATGCCGCTGATCCTTCTCAATTTTCTGACGAAGTAAGATTTGAGTAAAAAGTACGAGTAAAAAGTACGAGTGACGAAGTACAATTTGAGTAAAAAGTACGAGGACAAGCTCTTAGTTTCTTGTTGCATCAGCCCCCGTGAAATAAGCTCTCTTTATATTCATCACAGTAAGCAGGCAATCAACCAGTACTCTTGTAAAAAATATTATAAAAAAGACAAAGAGTTTATCTTCTGGCCTGATCTAGCTCGATCACATTACTGCAAAATTGGTCATCGACTTTTTAAAATTGAAAAAAATTAAAGTTGTAACCAAAAACCCAGCTAATGTTCCAGAAGCAAGACCAATTGAAAACTTTTAGGGTGATTTAAAACGGCTAGTGTACAAGAATAATTGGAGAACTGAGAATTTGGAAGAGCTTGAAGCAATAATTAGATATTGCTATTCAAAGATGAATTAAGAACTTTTCCTTACTTAAACAAAACATTTTTCAAAAAAATTTTATAATATTGCTAAATATGGTATTTGAAATAATTATTTTAATATATTTTTAAACTACATTTGCTAACATATTAACAGTTGAAATATTAAATAATAAAACTTATTAGTTCTTAAAATATTAATTTTTAAATTTTGTCCAAAATTTTATTTATGAGGTGTTATTATTTTTGCGAGTCACAAAATTTGCTGTACCTATTTTGCAAGTTACAAAATGTTTTTTTTTAATTTGTAAGCCACTAAAATTTTGTTTTGAAACTATTTTGCAAATCACAAATCTTGCAGGACCCTTTTGCAAGCCACAAAACTTTAGGTGTAGCACATATTATTTTCAAATTCAAATTAAGAAAATATTAATTCTTCTGATACAACATCAGCCGCGAGTAGGATTTTTTCATCTTATGTTCAACTGCTTCATAATCAGTTTCATCTTGTTTCCAATAAGAAATAGTGTAAACTCTGTCTTGTTGTCTCTTGTTTAATTTTTTTACTCTACCATCATAGATGACAGACCTTGTGCGTTAACTATTATACCATTTGTGACAGAGTTTTCTGCCAACAATTTTTCAGACATAACATCATCTATATCATCAAGTTGCTTGGCAGATGAGTGTTTATATATTCATCATTTCGCTGATAGTTAATGCACACAACTTGCGTTCTAACTTTGTTTATTAAATATCTTTCTATTTTAAATATCTGTCTATTAGTAATCTCTTCTCAAATGTCTTTATGTATTAATCAAGTTTTCATTTTTTTTTACGTGTCTTGTAAATAGACCACACAACTACCGTTGTATCTAATTCTTGTATCTATTGTATCTAATTCTTGTATCTAATTGTTGAATCTATCTAATTCTTTAAAATTATCTAAATAATCAACAGTCCTATTCTTTTTAGATCTTAATTTGCTTAATATATAACAAATTATTTCATTAGGGCATCTTTCTTTGGCATCACTAAACATACCAATTAATTCTTCACTATCTATATTGTGAAGCCTTGCACTTGCTGTCTTCTCTTTGTGTGTATCTGTAATTGAAAGAGAGAAATATCGCTTATATTGTCGAGCCAATTGTCAAACCTTAATTCCATCAAAAACATTACATGTACATATGATACATGTATATATGAATTTAAAAAAGTAAATGAAAATATAGTAATCATACTTGGAATAACTTCTGTAGATTTTGATAACCCATCTAAAAGTATTTACTTTTTAGGTAAAGTTGGAAATTGCTTTAATATTAAATAACAAGAGTAAATTTTCAAAATGAATACAATTAACAACAAATACTTGACAATTCAATTTAATATTGAATTGTCACATATTAGTAAAGAAAATCAAGCTTGAGCTGTTGGTTGGGTGGTCGACCAGACTGGTTGGTGATGGTGGTGTTAATAAAATTATGAATTTAAAAAATTAAATTAAAAAAAAATAGTTATAATACTTGGAATAACTTTTGGAGACTTTGATAACCCATCTAAAAGTTTATTTAGTTTATAGTTAAAGTTGAAATTTGTTAAAAATAAAATGTTAAAAAATATTAAAAAAACGAGTTTTCAGTTTATCGTCGTATTTTTCGGCTCCAGATCTCGCGAATTCCGGGTACCTATTACCATGTTCCGGGTATTACCGAATTCCGGGTACCTATTACCAAGTTCTAGTCTAGAATTTATTGCACAATAATATAAAATTAACATAAATTTTCCATTTAAATAAATAAAAAGATATCATGTATTAAAACAGCTGAAAATGTCATTAAAAAATAAACTTTTTATTTTTATTGACATTTACTTAAACTATCAAATAGTTTATCAATGGGTACTTAAAATACCCATTATTGCATTATGTATTTGTAAACGAAATATTATATGAAATAATAAAATGTCAGAAATTTTACTATGTTAGTAATGTTCAATATACAAAATATACAAGCACATAACAAAAATTTCAACAACTTTTGAAAATCAAACACAGTTTCATTAACTTTTATTTATCATTACAATGTTCAAAAATTAATTAAATAATTCGACCGTAGATTATAAAAAAATAATGTAATAAATATTAGTATTACTGATCATAAATGCCTAAAACCAGATTAAAAATAACATTTCTTTCGATAACGGTTTTTCAAAAGTTTTTTTGTTTTGAAAAATAAAGTTGGAGTGTTGACTTTGCTTTGATGTCAAAAAAAATACGTCAAAAAAAGCAACGCTGTTCCGATGTCGTTTAAAGTAGTCACACTAACGTTGGTTAAATGTTAAACAACCAACGTTGTTCCAATATTTTATAGACAAATGTTAGAATAACACCGTTATGCTGACGTTGGAACATTGTTGGAATTTAGTTATATCTCGTCGCAACCATATAACAACAAGGGCTCGACGTCTTTTTCTTTCTGGGTAGCTAACTAGTCGCTAGTCTCATTTAAGCAATTTTTTAGCGTTTTTTAGTCCTTGGTATCACATTCATCGCATTCGTTTTCTTTTTTATTCACATAATTAATTTATTTTTTCTTTTACGTCAACAAGTTGGATTTTTAGTATCAGATTTAAAATATTTTATCATAAGAATTTAATTTGTATTACCATGGGGCTTGAGGAAGGAAGGGGGCTTAAACCTTTCTTTCTCCTCTCACTTTTTGTTATTGTTGCGCTTTTAATTAAAGATATTCATAAAATACTTTAAAAGATTTTTAAAAATTTTGTTTTTTAAAGATTTATGGCAAATAGCGATCGAAAGGAGTTTTGTTTTGGTATCGGTCTGGCCGAAGATTTATTTTGAACCGATACCAAATTTTCAATTTCGGTACTTTATATAAATTCGAAAATAAGCAAATTTTTGTTGAAAAACATACTAAAAACCAAAATATTTCTAAGATTTTAAATTTTTTTCTAATTTAGAAAAACTAGCATTTTTTGAGAACTTTCACAAAGTATTTTGAGAATTTTTACAACACCTCGAAAAAATCATGTTTTGTAGAAAAAATCTGCCAGTTGTTAACTTTCGTTATTACCTTATATTGCCATTTATGCATTATTTCTCAATTGTGAGACACGTGTAATCAATTCTAATATAAAAAACATAAAAAATAATACATATAAATTGCATTTTTAAATACAATTTTCTAATGAAACTAATTTTGACTAGCTGAAATGTCGGGATCAGATTCGGCACCGAACTAAAGTACCCAAAATAGAGGTTTATTTTGGTTTTAGCTTTTTTTCTGTTTCGTTCGATCACTAATAGAAAAATATTTTGCATTTAAACTCATAATAAAAGTAAAAATGCCGCAAATAATTGTAAATGCACCGATTCTACGCTACCGTCTCTCTCTCTCTGTCTCTCTCTCTGTCTCTGTCTCTGTCTCTCTGTCTCTCTCTGTCTCTGTCTCTCTCTCTCTCACACACTCTCAGGTTTTTTTGGTGTCCCTAGAAGATCTTACGGTCTATAATATAGTTAAAGATTGTATTAAACTAAATATAGTTAAAGATTGTATTAAACTAACGATCAATTAGCATTATTTGTAAATAACGGTATGAGTATATTCAGGGTATCCCTATACTCAATTTAGTAGAGTTTTTATGCAAAAATCAGGAAAATATCAAACATTTATACTATATCTCAAAAAATTTAACCTCCCCCCCAATTTAAAAA